GACTAGTTCTTTATGTACTCTAGGGTCTCATGTGGGAGGATTCTGGAAGTAAGTGGACTGCTTCAGTGGTGGTGGTGCTTTGGGGGTGGGGTGGATGTAGCAAATATTTAATTGCAAAGAAGCCAAGGTGAGGGGAGTGATGTTTGCAGGTCTCCCAACAGTATGTGATGGGGACGTCCTTCTGTATGTATGTTTCTCTTATTCGTTGATGAATAAAACATTGATTGGCCAGGAGCCAGACAGGAAGTATTGGTAGGGCGACCAGTCAAGGAGAATTCTGGGGAGAGGACACACAGAGAGAGGCCTTGAGGCCGACACCATGTAGTTGCTGAAGGAGTAACAGGTCCAGAAATTCTTTGGTAAGATAAGACCACATGGAAATACTTAGATTAATAGAAATGGGTTACTAATTAAGAGACAGACAGCTGCTGGGCAGTGGTGGCACACGCCTTTAATCCCAATGCTCAGGAGGCAAAGGCAGGCAGTTTGAGACCAGCCTGGTCTACAAGAGCTAGTTCCAGGACAGCTTCCAAAGCCACAGAGAAACCCTGCCTTGAAAACCCTCTCCCAGCAAAGAGAGAGAGAGAAAGAGAGAGAGAGAGAGAGAGAGAGAGAGAGAGAGAGAGAGAGAGCCAGAGAGGTGACTAAGGCCCGTTTGTCCCAGAGCTGAGTTTAGAAGCCGGGCCTAATGCCCTGGACTAGTTCTTTATGTACTCTAGGGTCTCATGTGGGAGGATTCTGGAAGGAAGTGGACTGCATCTGTGTTGGTGGTGCTTTGGGGGTGGGGTGGATGTAGCAAATATTTAATTGCAAAGAAGCCAAGGTGAGGGGAGTGATGTTTGCAGGTCTCCCAACAGTATGTGATGGGGACGTCCTTCTGTATGTATGTTTCTCTTATTCGTTGATGAATAAAACATTGATTGGCCAGGAGCCAGACAGGAAGTATTGGTAGGGCGACCAGTCAAGGAGAATTCTGGGGAGAGGACACACAGAGAGAGGCCTTGAGGCCGACACCATGTAGTTGCTGAAGGAGTAACAGGTCCAGAAATTCTTTGGTAAGATAAGACCACATGGAAATACTTAGATTAATAGAAATGGGTTACTAATTAAGAGACAGACAGCTGCTGGGCAGTGGTGGCACACGCCTTTAATCCCAATGCTCAGGAGGCAAAGGCAGGCAGTTTGAGACCAGCCTGGTCTACAAGAGCTAGTTCCAGGACAGCTTCCAAAGCCACAGAGAAACCCTGCCTTGAAAACCCTCTCCCAGCAAAGAGAGAGAGAGAAAGAGAGAGAGAGAGAGAGAGAGAGAGAGAGAGAGAGAGAGAGAGCTAGTCAATAAGAAGCCTGAGCCATTGGCCAAACAGTTTATAATTATTATAAATATCTGTGTGTTTATTTGGGGCTAAATGGCTGAGGGACCAGGCGGGAAAGAAACTCCATCTACAAGCATGAGAATATGGAAGCCATATTGCCTGTCCTAACCCTACAATGAAAAGCCTATCACTTCTCCATGTGGAAACAGACCCCTTATCTTCAACATTTGTTTTTTATAAACAGTTTTTTGAGAAAAAAAGGCCACAGAATTAAAATTAACAGTGTCACTCTGTTTTTTAAGTGTCCTTTTGTTCCCATAGCGCAGAGGTTGTACTTTGCATCCACTGAGGGGTCCTGGTGGCAGCAAGCTACAGATGCAGGAAGGACTCAGGGACAGTGGAGTACCAGGGAGGGAGGAGAACCGAGTTCACAAGCTGTAGATGCTGGCCGGGCTGCTCACATTCCGGAGGACTGACTCACATAGTCCCTTCGCTGGATGCTGAGCTCAGGAAGTCATTTCTAGCTCACCTTCCCCAGAGTCCACTGTCCTGAGAGGCAGGTGACTTTTATGGTCCTGTGCTCCGCTGACCTTTTAGGGGGCAAGTTTTCTTCAACAGGTGGGAAGAAGGCAGGGGGTCTCTCTATAGGAAGGAGGGGGAGACACAATCTCACTAAGCACATAACAGCTGCTAAGGCCGCTGGGAGCTAGCCATCCTGGCACTGCAGAGGCTAGCCATCCTGGCACTGCAGAGGCTAGCCATCTTACTACTGCGGAAGCAGTAATGAGGACTAACCAGCAAATGCAAGCAAGGCTATTTATCTTTTGCTGGCTGGGGTCAGCCATCATTGCCTGTGTTCAGTAGTGACTCAGAGGCAGGAGAAAGCTTTTCCATGAAGATTCAGACATCCCCTGACCAGGGACCACTGGAGGCCAGCTACAAGGAGCACCCATGGGATTGGGTATGCACTGGCTCTCCAAACTGGAATTAATTGACAAAAGTTAGGAAAGGTGAGTGGTTAATCAAGGTCTGGGTATATGGATCATGGGGGTTTTTGTTTGGTTTCTTGGATTGTCACTAGAGATGGCTATCTGACCTCCTGTGGGTCCCATTTCCTAGGCTGCTCATTGTAGATAAGAGATTGCTGAGGGTTGTGAGTCCGGATCTGTTTTGAAGTGAGAAGCATAGGGAAGAGACTCACCTCAAATCACCACTCATAAGGGGCCCAGTAGGAGCTGCACCCATGCAACCGCCTCCAGCAAACAGAACCTCTAACAACTGGTGCACTTATGCCAGTGGCCCAGTGAGTTCCCAGCGCTGAGGCCACTGCCCCCAGCATTGCTGTGTCCTCTCTGACGATGCTCCGGATGTCCCCCTATACCCACAGGTAAGTAGCTACAATGGAGGAGAATCCCTGGGTCCTCACCTCCCTCCCTTCCCTTGCTATTATGGGTGTGACTGGGCTTCAGGGTGGGGCTCAACGTGATTTTTGACACGCTACATAGGAATGAGTCATGGATGGAAACTCTGGATTCAGGCTTATTCCCAATGGTAATTTTTTTTTTGCAATGCATCCTTAAGGATGTGTTTTAAGATAATTGCACACGCCATGCAGTGTGTAGCGCCCACACGTGCTCTGCGCCTCCGAGCCACCCTCCCCACACATCTCTCAGGATCATGACTATTTATTCTATTTTGTGACCCACTGAGATTAACCAGGGTGTGCAGTCTGTTGAAGCCTGGTGGGCTCTGCAGTGGGAACACAACTAAAGACCGTAGTTCCCCTTTCCCAGGGGCTGTCAATAGCCAGTAGTTTAGGGGTAAACCATGTGACCCGGTGAGCCCCTCCCCTTTCCTTGACTGACTGACTAGGTCTTGTGTGGGCCTAGTTCAGGTAACTAAGAGTTGTTCTAAGCTGATGTTTTGAATACTTGTACTGAGCACAGAAATAGCATGGTAGTGCCAGCCTCAAGCTTGTAACCTGACATGAGCTACCATAATTGTTTATTTGTCTAATACAGGGTTTTTCTATGGAGCCCATGCCAACCACAAACTTGACATTCGCCTGCCTCAGCCTTCTACGTGCTCAGCTTATAGGTATGTGTCCCCAGGCTTGGCACACTGTGGTTCCTTGGCATTTTAAGTATTTCAATAACTCAGTTTTGCTTTGAATGGAAAATGTTTCCTGGAAGTTGTCTACTCTATCATGCAGAAGACTTTAACCCCCAGGCTCCCAAGACTCCCTGCAGCCATCAGGACCACATGTTTCAGGGCCTTTCTGGGTGTCAGCTTCCCCTGTGCAGCCTGTCTTGGGAGTAGAATAGGTAGGCACGGAAGGGTCTGGCTTTGTCCTGGACTTCTTGGGGGTCTGTCTTTTCTCTGGGCCAGCAGCACAGCCAGGGCATTAGAAGTGTGGTCACCAAATAAGTACCTGAGCGTCTCTGAGGTAAAAACTTAGATCCTTACGGCTGAAATGAGTCTTGGGATCCTGGCCTCAATTTCCCTGAGAACAGGGCACTGAGAGCCCCACTTGGAGGATAAATGGGGGTCAGACTCAGACTTCTGGCCCTGACCTGGATGGACCCCTGCTCCTGTCTCCCTGCCAGCCACAGGTGGTCTTTCTCTTCCTTTCCTACTTCTAGTCTCAGGTGGTTGCCACTTATCAGGGTGCTGAGGCAATCAGAATGCAGATGGTTGATCTGCTGTTTTAAAGATCTTTGAGGCAGGAGAACGGTGAGTTCAAGGCCAGCCTGGGCTCCATAGCACGCCCCTGCTTTTAAAAAGAGAGTGGAGTGGGGAGACGGCAGAGTCAGTAAAATGCTTGCTCTCTAACAGGAGAACCCCAGTTCAACCCCCAGAATGGATGTAAAAAAAGCCAAGAACAGTGGTGTGTGTTTGTGTTCCTGGTTCAGAGAGACAGGCAGGCAGATCCTTGGGGCTAGATGGCAGCAAGCCTAGCTGAATTGGTGATTCCAGGTCAGTGAGAGATCTTGTCTAAAAATTCAAGGTGGAGGCTCAAGAGAGATGGCTCAGCCATTAAGAACATTTGTTACTCTTACAGAGGAACCTAGGTTCAGATTTCAGCACCCGCACAGTTTCACAATCACCCATAATTCTGTTTCAAAGGATCTTCTGACCCCTGTGGGCACCAGGCACACATGTGGTGCAAAGACATGCATACAAGCCAAACAGTCAATCATACAAAGATAAAGCAAATACTCCTGAAAGCCAAACAAACTGTCAAGTGATTCAAGAAGACAGCCAATGTTGACCTCTGGCCTCCAAGTGCACATTGTACTCTTGTGTACCTGTGTACAAATAAACACACACATATGTACAACACACACACACACACACAAAATACAAAATGCAAATATATGCAGAGTTCCTAATTCCCCAAGTTTGGCTTCAGTGTTATCTGTCGCTGGGAGTTATATACGTGTTCCCAAGGACAAAACTGAGACAACACTGCTTCCCTGTTTCCCCAGTACTCAGCAACTGTTCCCCTGGCAAGCCGTTCTGACTACAGCTTTCCAAGACAAGGTCTCCCACTTTGCATAGCAGCAAACTGAGGCTCCAAGAGGAACGTCACATGAGTACTTGAAGTCAGGTGGCTGAGACAGATTCCCAAGGCGAGGGTGCACCTCTAGGTAGCTGCAGCCCTGGTTCACGTGAGAAGAGCCCACCCAGACTACATGGGAAACGGGTAGACAAGGACCACTCAGGAGGACTTGAGTGAGACAGGATGAAGGGTATTACCTTGTCTGTTGACCTCTCCTCCTTCCCAGCTTCTTGGTGACTTGGCTCCTGTAGTGGTTTATTCTTCTGGAGATTCCAAATCTTGGATTCAAAGAATTACTTGAGCATGGTGGCATCCACACAGCAGTCTGACACCATGGGTCCCTTACCCACTTTAATGCCCCATCTCTCCAGAGTCAACTGCATTTTCTGTGTGAGCATGGGTGTGTGCGTATGAGTGCATGTGGCTGTGGGTGCACATGCCAGCTAGCTCAGGGATCTGCTCGTCTGCATCCCTAGCACTGGGATTATTGTGTGATTATTGTGTGAGTGCATCTGGCTGTGGGTGCACACACCAGCTAGCTCAGGGATCTGCTTGTCTCTGCATCCCTAGCACTGGGATTATTGTGTGTCACTGCATAACTCTTTTGCTTTGTGTTGTTTTCCACAGGCTCTGGGGACTGAAGTCTGCCCTGATGCTTGCACAGCAGACGTTTTCCTGAGGAACCATCTCCCCAACCTCTGTATTTCTCTTTGCAGTTGAGATCTGACCCACGGCCGGATTCCAATCCTGAACCTTGTGCTTATGTCACCAACGAGATGGGACATGCTGCCACAACAGGAGCTGAGAGCTTGGGGAGGGTGCTGTCCAAATTCTGTTGTATCACAGCAGGGAGGGAAGGGCCTGAGGCACGAGACCGAGAGGGAGTCAGGAGATTGCCTTTCTATTCTTAGTTCTGCAATGAGCTTGCTGTGTGCCCTTGGGCAGATCAGTTCCTCTCTCTAACCCTCAGTTTCCTCATTTGCTACAACCAAATGCAGAATCTTCAAGGCTTTCCCTTTCAGTTCTAACGAGCCCACAGTTCTAGCTGGGATGCGGGATGTGTGTGAAGAAATCTGAGTCTTGGTTTCATTTCGTAACTTGGGCCCCTCAGCACTTCCCAGCTGGGGCTGGGAACAGGACCAACATTCATTGACAAATGAAGGTGAGTTTCAGGGAGGTGGCTGGCAGCCTGGGCTGTCACAAACCTCTGACAGAAAAAGGGCATTGCTGGGGAAACCCCAGTTTTCCCACCAGAGGCTCTGATTGGTGCACAGAATTTGGGCTTCCTTCAGCCTCAGGCCTCAGCCTTTGCTGACTCCCGTGCCATCAGCGGCTGGTTTTGATCAATGGTAGCAGCAAGAGCAACAAATAAGAAGCCCATTTACTGCAATTTCAGTCATCTGTGGCATTTAATTAGCATAATTGACCCAAACTGGAACTTTCCTTCCACCTGAATTTAAAAATACATTCCCATTGACCCCCAGTACATCTGAGAAATTTTCTTTTTTTAAAAATGAGGTTCTAACTAAAGCCCTATATCAAAACACCATATAATACTTTTATCTTATTGAAGGCATTTGATGCTTATTAAAATATTATTGCTTTAAGGCTTATTTTGATTTTTTTTGCCCAAGAGTGTGTGCAGAGCCTCGATACCCAGATAATAACAAAGAACCTTAAACATGAAAAAAACACATGAAAGGTAATATGTTCCCCATTAGTCCCAGTATCATTTCCCCAGGATTACTGCTTTCCAAATATAGCATTAGCTTAAAAATAAAAGGCCGTTTACAGTAATGGGACACTCGGTACTACTCTGGAGCATGTGGGCTCTCCAAGGGCCTTGTACAACGGCTTCATTAAGTGGGAACTGCAGGGGAGAAAGGCTGGCTTTAAAAAAAAAAATCCCAGCATGCCTCCTCAAAGGCCCCCAGATAGGCCACCTACCCTGACCCAAGGCCCGTGTCTAACAAGCTCTTAATTCCGCTTTCAGAACTGCTTTTTCACGCGTTGTTTCTTCCAGAGATGAAAACATTTTCCAAGCTGACAAGCCATCAACTGGGTGCCACCCGGGAAGAGAAGCCTTGGTCCAGAGCTCTGTATTCTGCCCTCACAGGCAGGAGAACATGGAACTGCCATCCATACCCAATGGGCCATCCTGGGTTTGGGAGGTCTCTTTTACCCTGAGATCCAGCAGGTTCAAGCGAAGTTATGAGAGCAGACTCAAGGATCATGTCTACCAACCAGTTTGTCTTAGTGTTCATGGACCAGAGACTGCTTTGCCTGTTGGGGTTGGCTGAAGCCTGTTATACAGTTACATAAGCTAATTTATCTGGGGGACAAAGCCGTCGTGTACACAGAAGGGCCTTCTTAAATGGCAGCTAGGGCCACTCTAATTTTCTTCCATGGGCTGGTCTGTATGTGACAAGACCCCACTGGAAACTGACAGTTGGCTGAGGGTGTCTGTTGGCTGTTTTGGTGCAACATTGCAGGCCCCCTATGACTCGGGGAGCAAGCCTCCCGGCATCCACTAAACACCCAGTTCTTAGAGGCTCCACAGAGTGAGGGAGCAGCCTGAGGGGAGATGTGCTTCAAATCCCCAACTGGATGCCAACCTTACCTCAGTTGTCAGCAGGGAGGGGGAGGTCCAGAGGGTACATGGAGGGCAAGACAGAGAAACAAGAGCATACACTTATTACTTTTGCCCTGGGTGGGGGTCACTTCACTAGGCCCGTCTTTGTCTTGGGGATGGGGTGGTGGGGGAGTTCCTTGGTTAAGATGGGGATAGCGTCACTGTGGCCATTTGAGGAAGCAACTCACTGGGCTGTTATCAGCTTTGGATTTCCTTGGCTGAGCTCAGTTACTGTTCAGCGTTCTTGTCCTTGAAGCCAAAATGGCTAATTTCTCATGCTTCTGGCTCTGTGGCTGGCATGTCTCCCTTGAGGTGAGAGAACGAGTTAGCTGCTCCCACATGAGGAATATCCCCGGCTCTCCAGGTCCTGCCCAGGCATCACATGGATTTATCCTCTCATTGGTCCCCACAGGATCATGGCAATCCATGTGTGAGTGACTTGCAGAGAAGGGGGTTGGAGTGATGAGAGGTCGAGCCACCTGCCAAGGCTGCAGCAGCTGAGCAGTAGATGGCAGGTGGTTAGTGTGTTAGAGCCCCTGCCTTGAGTACTGGACCTCATCATTTGTTAGAACTCAGCTCTGTGGTGTCTACTGACTACATCCAAGTCTCTCATAAGATAGAAGACAGAGCCAGCCCTTGGTCACAATGCCTGATTTAGAATCGTGGTTTTTTATGGGTTACTGCTTCCTCAGGAGGTTAGGTTTGACATTCTGGAGACCACTCAAGGCACAGGTTTGGACTGAGTCCTTTGGCCTAGAGGGATCTACAGTGCAGTCCCAGGCAGGACTCCTGTCCTCCAGGGCTCACACAGTTTCAGTGATTTGGACTGGGATAATTGCAAAAGGAATTTGCACCTACAGAAGAGGAAAGGGAAGCTAGGAGGAAGAGCCATGTCCAAGGTTCAGACACTGGGCTGTGGCCCTGAGTTTAGAATGTCTTCTGTTTAACCGTTGTTGAGTGTGCAGATTAGAATATTTATTTATTTATTTATTTATTTATTTATTTATTTATGTCAAGTTGACACAGCTAGAAAAAGGAAATGTCACTTGAGAAAAAGCCTCCATCAGATTGTCCAGTAGGCACGTTTGTGGGGCTTTTTCTTGATTAATGATTTCTGTGGTATAGCTCAATCCACTGTGAGCGATGCACCTTGGGCAGGTGGTCCCGGGTCGTATAAGAAAGGCTGGGCAAGCCATGGCAAGCAAGCCAGGAAGCAGTGTTCTTCTACAGTCTTTGCTCCAGTTCCTGCCTTGAGTTCCTGCCTTGACTTCCCTAATTGATGTTCTCTAAACCAAATAAACACTTCTCTACACAAATTGCTTTGGGACTCGATGTTTATCACAGGAGCAAAAATCAAAGGAGGAAAGTGAGACCAAGAGGGAGATGGGAGCCTGTGAGCTGCAACTGGCATTGGAGGAGCAGAATCGCCTCTGGGAAGGAGTGGGTGGAACCTGCAGGGGATGAGTAGCCTGTTGGCAGATGGTGTGGGTAAGAGGTCAGGCGGGAAGAGTAGATAGCATCTCCACGCTGTTTGCCCGAGGATGAGAGGCTGGGAGGATTCAGGGTGGAAGAGAGTTCTGAGGCGGTAAGAGAGCCAGTCTGATGACTGATGTCTGTTAGGAACACAGGAAGAGAGAGAGAGAGAGGTGGCTTCCTGCCACACGCATGTCAGGGCTGACATGTGTGCTTAAAGGATAGAGCCATGTTACCTTTGCCACTCATGTTACACCTGGTGGCTCTTGCTCCCTGGGAGTCACCTGTTGCTGATACTGTAGAGTTTGCATCTGTTCCATGGGACCCACCAACTGCCAAGGCATCAATTGGCCTGGCTAATGGGGCCAGAGCAGACACAACAGAATGTCGAAGGTCCTGGCCTCTGTCATTTCAAATAGCCCCCAGTACACCACTGAAGATGCTATGTTCTCAATAAGCTAAGCTAATTCCAGTTGTTCAGGGGTAAGAACAGTGCAGCAATGTAGCCGTGCTAAATGGAGGCAGGAGAACTAAGACAGGAAAAACCACAAGCTCTGACTTTAGGTGGGAGCACTGCTTTTGAAACTTTTCTACAGCCCCCTGAAACCAACTCGGCTCAGTTGGTCCTCCATTCTTCTAACAAGCTGGAAGCTGAGCCTGTCCTTCTGACCCTCTGGTGTCTTGGTGAGCAGAAAGGTCATAGGGCCCCTGGGTAACTGTGGTGAGGGAGGGTGAGTAACCTTGGTTAGGGTGGGTAACCATGGTGAGGGCTGGTAGCTAACCTTGGTTAGGGTAGGTAACCGTGGTGGGGTAGCTGGTGTAAGGCTGGCTATGCACAAGGCTGAAGGAGCTTAGACAGAACTGAGACCCTGTCTAAACTCTACCGGGACCCTTTCTAGACCAGCCAGCCTTGTAACCAGGTCCCAGCAGAGGCTCTTCACAGATTTCCATTACATATTGTGTCTCCCCCGCCACACACACACACACACCTGTGTGTCATCTGGTCTATCAGTGTGAAGGCCTTGGGGGGTTTTGAATGTGCCCTACATCAAATACACCCCCTCTCCACCAGGGAGGAACCCCCAGCCACTGAGCTGCAGACTCGGGGGACATTTGATTGTCTAGAACACATCAAACGGCCCAGGTCTCCCTTGTAAAAGTTTTACAAGAAAATCATTGAAGATCAGCCGAGCCTGTCTTTTTCTCTCCTCCTCCTTGGCTTCCAGCGCTGAGCCTCACCACACTTTGGTGCTGGGCTGTAAGAGAGCTGGGCTGGTGAGCCAGAAGGAGCCTCGGCCCCCCGGATCGTTAGGCTTGCAGGCCACGGCTGTGGGATCTAGTGAGTTGGACATATTTTATTTAACCAGCTTAGTAAAAGGTAATATTCAGCAGCTGTGATCTATAGCAGAATTACAATTTTCAGGTCAAGGAGGGATTTTGATATTAGGAGGTTGGGCAGAATTGCTATGAAATCTCATGAGCTGTCTTTAAAAATAAATGAGAAAATAGGTTATCCAAGAGTCATTGTAAGGGGAAAATCAATAGACGCTGTCTATTCACTTGGGCTATCAAAATCCTTGAAATTTGAACAAAAGTTTCACGTTTAGTGTACTGGAGGTTTTGAAATATCAGCAGTGGAGCTCCGTAGCTACACAACTGTGGTGCTGCCCATCCAAATGAGGCGAGACCGTGTGCAGCCGCTTGGCTCCCTCTGAAGATGGAGAAGGAGCTTGGTGACAGAATGGACCGTAGGGCACTGCACTGCAGGCTGCTTACCAGATCGTGCCAAGAAAGCACTAGAGATCGGAGCAGCAGGGCAGTGTGCCACGTGGCCCTGCCTGCCCCGCCCTGCCCCTTGCCTAGTAGGGTAGGGTCCACACATGTCACCCTACATGATCCGATGCACACACCTTGGGATGGGAACAACCCCTTGTGGTGCACTTTTACCTGCTTAGGCTGTCTGAAATGACAGACTACCCAAACATTCACCCATACAATCGCTGCCTCCCACTATGAGCCACGCCCAATTCAGGAGTAAAAATGGGGGACCAAAACAGGCTCTGAAAAGCAAAGAGCACCTGACCTTCTCAGACGGGGAGGGCGGGCTATCAGGTGGTGTCACTCATCTTGGACTGACAGCACGGGTAAGATTTAGCCATCGAGAAGACAGAGGAGACCGGCAGGGAAGCTCCCAGACAGAGGCTCCAAGTTGGGAAAGAGCTTGAAATGTGGGGAAAGAGAGGAGGTGAGACAGGGCCCGGGATTGAGGGCTGGTGTCTGGCCATGCATGGCTTGGCAGGGCAGCACACAGGGCTTGGCAGGGCAGGCCAGACCATGGAAGGAATTGCGATTAGAAACCTTAGACCAGATCAAAAGATTTGGAACCATAAAATTCTAAGATCTGATTTTCATTTTCAAACCATCACTCTAGCTGCTGTGAGCTGAAACAACTACGATGGTAAGTGGGCCTGACAAAGACTGTGGGCTGGGGGAGGGGGTGGTGTGGAATGGGGCGCTCATGGCTTCCTTAGTGCTCCTGGAAGAGCCTGCACTCTTCTGTTAATTGACCATAAATAAGGACACCAGGCACTGCCCTCGATCACTGGTGAGGCTTCCTGCTCTGGATCTCTGCTCTGCAGATCACGAGACTTCCTTTGCCACCACTGTGGAGGTGGCTTCTTCAGGGATGACTCGGCCATCCAGGGTTTCCAGTGGCTCCTGTATAACATACTTCCCATTTTCCAAATTTCTGTGGATGTCATTCTTATGTGTTCACTCAAGAACATTATATCTTAGCAATAATCACTTTGTAGCCTCTATTTTCTCCATTAATATATTTTAAAGAGGTGCTTTACATGTGGTCTCTAATTATTTTGCTGCTTTTTTCCCCTTAAAAAATTTTTAAATTTATGCTTTGACAATTCCATTCACATGTATAATGTGTTTTGATAGTACTCACCCCACTACTCTCCCTCCTTGGTCTTCCAACCAGGCCCCCTCCTACTTTCATGGTGTGTGTGTGTGTGTGTGTGTGTGTGTGTGTCCCAAAGAGTTTAATTAAGGTCTCCTTGCAAGAGTAATGGCAGGGCTTATTTGCTGGGGCACTAGCAGCTCACCAGTGGGAAGCTAGACATTTCTTTTTCAGTACATTTGGCAATGGATAGATTCAAAGCAGTCAACCAACCCAGACCACACTATTGCCTGCCCCTGAGCTGAACTCCAAGACAGGTGAATCCCAGGATGCTGTTGGGAGACCTGGGGAAGGCAGGGATGATGTTGTATGACTTGTGTTGTGCTCCTGATGCCTGGTTCAATGCTGGCCACTTAGTACTAAAAAGTGGTTTTAGAGCATACTTAGAATATGTATTTTTAAAAGACTTACTTTGCATGTATTTGTATGTGAGTATATGAATGTGTGTATGAGAGGGAGAGGGAGAGGGAGAGAGAGAAAGAGGAGAGAGAGAGAGGGAGAGAGGGAGAGGGAGGGAGGGAGAGAGAGAGAGAGAGAGAGAGGGAGAGGGAGAGGGAGAGAGAGAAAGAGAAGGAGAGAGAGAGAGGGAGAGAGAGAGAGGGAGAGGGAGAGAGAGAGAGAGAGAGAGAGAGAGCATATGCCAACAGAGGAAGCTGGATTTATTGAGAGTTGTAAGCTTCAGAATACTGGGTACTGAGTTCTAGTCCTCTGAAAGAACAGTGTATTCTTGTAGCCGCTGAGCCATCTCTAGCCCTTAGAAAGACTGTTTTGTAATGGATGCATTTTGTTGCTGGGAATTGGACCTAGAGTCTTGAGCCTGGCACATGTTCTGTCACTGAGCTATGTGCCCAACTCTTGGTTCTGTGAGGCAGGGTCCCCCTGCAGAGGGCTATTAGCACAGATCATGCTAGCCTTCTGCTGGCCTCAGTCTCTGGAGTGCTAGGTTACAGTGCATGCCTGGCCTAGTATTTCAACACTTTTCTCCTGTGAAGTTCTTTCTCTAGTGAGATACAGCCTCTCAAGCTGGTCTTGTTCTCAAGATCCCTCTGCCTCAGCCTCCTTGGTGTGGGATTATAGGAGTATGTGGTGTGCTTGAAGTATTTTAAACCCTTGATCATGAGGAATCTGTTGAGGAAAAACCCAAACCCAAGAAGCTCTAAACAACAATAGCTCCACAAACAGTATTTCTCTACAATGCCGCAGACCTACACATTTATGTTATTCACGGTGCACGAGACAGGGTTGGTCTGTCACTTGTTTGGAGGTAGGTCCCAATGGGGTGTCTAGCGGGATCTTCATAACTATCTTCCATTTGAGTGCCATTTTCTCCGAGGCTCAGTGGGGAGATGAATTGATTGTGCAAGGTCACCACTGTGGGAAACAGCTCAGAGTAAGGTCTGCCATCTCTCTGGGAAGTTGACTGTGTTCAAAAAAGCCACAGGGGCTGATGAGATGGCTCAGTGGGTTAAGGAGGGTCCTGCCAAATTTGAGGACCTGGGTTCAATCCCTACATCTGAGTGGTAGAAAGAGAGAAGTATCTTATACATTGGTCTCTGACCACCATACATATGCTGTGGCTCATATTGGCCATATACATAAACACACAATAAATAATAAAAATTAATTTAAAGAGAAAAAAATCTTAGCCAGGCATAGGAGGCCTAAGGAAGAAAATTATTTGAGCCTAGGGATGTTGAAAGGCTGACTGTCCAACATGGGAAGACCCTGCCTTGTAACCATAAAACAGGGCTGGGGTGATAGCCTGGGTTACAAAATGCTTGCCTTGCAAACATGATGACTTGAGTTTGATTTCCCACAACCTATTCAGGAGAGAGAGAGAGAGAGAGAGAGAGAGAGAGAGAGAGAGAGAGA